TCTATCACTGATTCAACTCCAACCCGTCACCTTAATTCTTTCTTTTGCCGTTTCTACAAGGAGTCCGGAAGGAGCCCTGGAGGAGCGGCCGGCTAAGCGTGACGGTGAAAACGGCGGTCGCGGACCGCGCCGAGGGCAGCCCGGGAGCCGGCGGCGCGCTCTGGGGCTGGCACGGGCCCGGGGGGATTGCATGTCGGAAGAGCGGCTGGGCTGGGAAAGTGATTCCGGGCCCGCCCGGCGGGACGCGTGGTGACGGCGTCCCCGGGTCGGGCCCCGGTGCGCTCCCCCCGCCCAGGCCCCAGCATCTCCCGTCCCACGCCGGGGCCGCGGGTGGGGTGGGGACTTGGTCTGCGGGGCGCTGCCCGGCCGGGCACCTCGGGGTGCTCGACAAGGATTGTTTTGGGGGTGCTGCTGCTTAGCCCCGTTTGCCCTAATTTAAAGCCTGCGGGAGGGCTTCCGAGCCCCGCCTCGGGAGTTTCTGCCCCAGAGACACTGCCTGCGGCTGAGCTGCTGACACCCAGGTGTGTGTCAGCCCTGGTGTCGCCGCAGGTCGGGGTGAGCGGTGGCCGTGGCCGTGGGGAGCCCCAAGCACCTGCCGCGCCGGCGCTGGTGGAGGCTGTCCCAGGGGTGGACGGGAGAAATGAAACAGATCCCGTTCGGATATTCTGCTGAAGTTAACAAGTTTCTGTTCAAGTATAGCAGTTCTAGACCAAGTTCATAAATCCAGCTCCAGGACTTGGTGGTGGATGAGGTTTGGGTGCAGAGAGACCGGGGTGACCCGGTTTGGCTCAGGATGTTCGGGGCCGCCCGAGCGCCTCTGACCTTCTCCCCCGGGCATGTGCATCTTCTCGCTGTCACCAGGGCCGAGTGCGCCCATGGCTCCGGGAGAGGAGGGAAGCTGGGGTTCAGTGCTGAGCACAGGCCTGGTGTCTTCGCACGAACCATGTGTATCTAGGTCCTCGATTCTAGGAAAAGGACAATCTTTACCCACGGGGTTGGTAGGGAGAGAGAGCTTGCTGGTTGGTTGAGAACCCTCAGTCCATACTCACCCTCATTTTGGGCAGTGCCCTAGCTAGTAAGGATTGAGTGGTCAGGACAGATGCCATGCCTTAGGTTTGTGTGATTTGATTTCCATAAGTCATGTTTAACCCAAAGCATCACTGCGAAAAGGAATCCTAAGGTGGATCTTCCTATGAGTCCCTCAGTGTGTCTTAGATTGTGATATCTGGAGGCTACTTAAGATGGAATACGCATATTTATTTGATTCATCTTAACCTTGGAGATAATCCTGAGTCATGCTTTGACAAGTCCCCTCTGTGGTCAGGAGCTCAGACGTCTGGCGGTCTCTGTAAGAGCGGGATGCTCCCCTGTACCTGTAGTTCTCCCCTCTGGGGCTCCGGGGAGATTGGAAGCGGATTAAGAGGTCTTTGGTATTTGCCCTGCCTTCATGCCAGTGCTCTAAATTACTTGTGTTCACAGTCTCAAGTTTCTTAATTTACCATAGAAATTTTGTTTATACTGCCACTAGCATTTTCACATTTGTTTAACACTTGCCAGTTTACAAATGGTTTTCTATTCATGATCTCGCTTATTTTCTCCTCTGCGAGGAAGCAGCTGGGCATAAGGACTGACTTAATCAGGGTCTCATAGGTAGAACTGGAGCAGAATTGGGATGCCGTCTTCACCCATTCTCTTTCCTCTGCACGGGCCGCATGTGACTTCAGAACCCTACTCCTGACCTGCTACCCTGTAGGTCACTTGTTGCCTTTGTATTGTGCCTACGCGGTATTACTTTGGGGAAGGTGCTGTTATCCTGTTTCATCCTGTAGAAACTGGGGGAGAGTAAGAGGAATTTAGTGATTTTGTGATTACTTGTGACAGCTCTTTAGTATTAAGGACAGTTTTCACCTGAGAAAGCCTTTCTTCTAGACCACCTGGGGGGAAGAGAGAGAAGAAAGAATTGGTTTTGGGAAAAACAATCCATTCCCTTCGTGGTGTGGTTAAGGATAACCTGACATCACTCACATTCTCCGGTGCACCTGGCTGCTTGTGCCAGCCTGCATGCGAATGTTAGCCCAGAAGACTCCTTTAGATGTCGCTGGACTCATTACTATGAAAAGTATTTCACTTTCAAACTCCCACGTTTCAACAACAGCAATTCAGTACAAAGGTAATTTGCAGGTATGCACAGATGGAATTTATTGAGTCTCCTGAATGTCAGGCACGAAGATTTAATCGAAAGGCATTTTAAAAGGGCTACCAGGAAACAGTGGAAAGGCAGTAGCTATAGGTTTTATTATTATTCAAGTTTGGGGAATAGTGTGTATTGCAATCTATAGGTTGTCAGATAGGAGTAGAACTTTTGCCCCAGAGCAGTGGTTCTCAACCTTCTGGCCCTTTAAATACAGTTCCTCATGTTGTGACCCAACCATAAAATTATTTTCGTTGCTACTTCATAACTGTAATGTTGCTACTGTTATGAATTGTAATGTAAATATCTGATATGCAGGATGGTCTTAGGCGACCCCTGTGAAAGGGTCGTTCGACCGCCAAAGGGGTCGAGACCCACAGGTTGAGAACCGCTGCCCTAGAGTATTCTTAGTCTGTACCTGAAGTGATAGACCCAGAATCTTTGAGTTAAATTAGTTCAGCGTAACCATGAAGCCTGTCAGTGCAATTGTGCAGTAGTGAGGAAAATGGCCTTCGGGGGTTCTTGGGTTTTTCTTTTAAGGTATTGTTTAATTGTGTATTTTCCAGATTTGCTACTTCAGAAAATTCTTAGCATGTTATCTTAAGGCTTTGATAAATTCTTTAGCATTTTCCTTAATTATCTGCTAACAGAATTGATACATTAGTCATAATTAACCTTTGAAGCTTAAACGTGCGCGAATTTTTAGTACTGTTTTATATTTTTAGGGAATGGTCACCCAGTTGTTGCCACAAGAATTTTATTTGGGCCAAAGGTCAGATTTTTCCAGGTGAACTGATTTTACAGGTTCTGGAGCCTTTCTTTGAACTTTATAATTGTGCTCGTTGCATCCACTGTTGTTTACTGGAAAACGATCTTTTAGTAAGGCAGGTCACTTTAAAGGCAAATTTTTTTCATTGTTATCTCATAATCTCCATTCCTGGCAAATTTTCTGAAATATTAGGTTTTTCTTTGTCTTAATCAAGTAAAACAAGCCTGTTTGATGTCCATTTCAAGATCTTCCTCTGCTGCCCATCTTGTGGTCATTTAGCTTCTCATCAAGCCCTCCCTTGGAGACTGTGCCAGAAGGGAGAGAAGATGAAAAGAAAATAAATCATTTTCTAATTGTTAGCAGCTCTGGAAAATGATTTAGAAGAGATTGAAACTGTCCCGGAAATTCTTTTGGATTATGTTCTATTTCATTCATCTGCGTTGTTTCTCTGATGTTCCTAATAGTTATCAATTCAGAGGCCAATTATCCAGCTATTGGAAGACCAGGAACCTTCCAGCTTTGTTTCTTGCTGTATCTAAGCATCTCCCAGAGGATATTTAGAAGTAAGGAGTAAAGATAAAATTCAAGCAATATTATTTTTCCCTTAGAGCTCTTTAGTGAACAATTTGATTTTTTTTGATAGTGTAGTCATTGTTATTGGAAGTGGCTTTATTTTATTTTGATGTATCTTATACACAAGTGTAAGGAGGCTTTTGGGTGCTTTTTAAGATTCCCATGATTGCTTTCCTGAATTATTAAGCTTGAGGGCATTACATCTTTGTACCGGAACAGAACCTTGGCTTTTGCTGTAGAACAGGTTCAGGGGCAGCATCTAATTTTCTTTTTATGATTGCTTAAGAAGTTATCTTGTTTTGATTTAGCAGTAAAAAAAGAGGGGGGAAGGATTAGTAGTGGACAGACCTGTGTAACAGCTGTAACACTGATGATGTCTGTTTTGTTTCCTTGTCTTGGCCCCCATTTCTCATTTAACCATTTGGACATTGCGCTATTGGAGTTCTTTACTTCACTTATAGACAAGACAGCAGCCTTCAGTCACGCTAGGGCAAGCATGTCAAACTCGGGCCCGCAGGCCACATGTGGCCCACAGGGATTATTTTTGCGGCCCAGCTAATATAACGGTATGTAAGAAATGTTGTTTTTTGTTTTTTTTAAATATATTTTATTGATTTTTTTACAGAGAGGAAGGGAGAGAGATAGAGAGTTAGAAACATCGATGAGAGAGAAACATCGATCAGCCGCCTCCTGCACACTTCCCACTGGGGATGTGCCCGCAACCCAGGTACATGCCCTTGACCGGAATCGAACCTGGGACCTTTCAGTCCGCAGGCCGACGCTCTATCCACTGAGCCAAACCGGCCACGGCTGTAAGAAACGTTTTAATAAAAAGTTAGTAACTTAATTTTTACAATATCTTATTATACATAATTATTAATAACGAACTACAATGTTCGCTAATGACTGATTACAATAATCGTGTTGCATTCATTTCCCTTACGTGCCGGCGCACCATTTCTCTCCACTAGCACTAGCAGCGAATATTTTAGCAGCTGATGGCCACATCATTAGTCTTAGACTGACTTGTTTGGTGTGCACAACAGGAAATATTTCGCTTTCGGAGAACAAGAGAAATAGGCTTATTTGCATTACGCTTATTAATTTGTGCAGTTATTCAGTGTCTGGTAAGTTAATGTTCAAGAAAAAATATTAATTTTTATTAGAATGTTCTATTTTATGAATGATGACTTATTTATGTCAGCCCTTTGTATTCAGTATGTCTCTATCGAAATAAACCTACGATTCTATGAAAATTGAAGCTTTTGTTTTTTTGTGGCCCAAATAAACTTAAACCTTGTTTATTTGGCTTGTGTTAGCCTTTGAGTTTGACATGCTTGCACTAGGGCAGTGATGGCGAACCTTTTGAGCTCGGCGTGTCAGCATTTTGAAAAACCCTAACTTAACTCTGGTGCCGTGTCACATATAGAAATTTTTTGATATTTGCAACCATAGTAAAACAAAGACTTTATTTTTGATATTTATTTTATATATTTAAATGCCATTAAACAAAGAAAAATCAACCAAAAAATGAGTTTGCCATCACTGCACTAGGGAGTAGGTTCTTGATGGTTTGACTCGGGAATTTTAAAAACCCGTTATGACTGCTCATTTACTAGTAAACTGAGTGACTGTTAGCATTTGTAACTAAAACCTTAGGAGGTGAATAAGGTTAATAGACAGCTGTAGGAGGTCTAAAGTTAATCCTTTCAGTTTCTTGTTTCTTGGATTCTCTTCTGTTTCTACCCAAGGAGGGGATTCATGGAAAGATCTAAACTAGGAGTCAGAAAACTCAAGCTCTTAATCAGCTCTTTCCAGCTATGAGGCCTAGAGCAAATCCCTATCTGCTGTTCCTCTATTTTGAATCTATAAAATGGGGATAGTGATTCATGCACTGCTTGCTGTATCAGGAATGTTGTATCAGGAAGCCCTCCTCCCCCTTTTACTTAAAATGTTTCTTCATTCTAGAGACCCTTCTCAGGTTGTCCAGCTATTCCTGCAGAGGTCTACTGAGGGAGTTCTTCCCAGAAGTCCTCCATTTTCCCATTTGGAACTGTTCTTGCTCTTTCTCCAGAAGGCCTCTGGCAGTCTGTATGTTACAAAGCACTTTGAATTCTGTGCTGCACTTTGCGGGGAGCCGATATAGGGTTAAGCCTCGGACTGACCCGTTAGCAAAATCACAAACAAGTCTTCTTCCGAGTCTTAAACAACTCAATCCGAGAGGTGGCTGCTGATTTACACGCGCTGTCATTTAAAAAATAAAAATGGGGGAATTTGCCGGAAGCCGGTCCACCCTTGCTGCTTGACACAGTTGCTGCAGGGAAGAAACATCTGCACAGCTTATGTTTCAAGGGACCTGGCATATATGGCATATGTTTGCTCCCCCTCTTAGCGCTATGTGTTTTAAACAGGACCACCTCCCTGAGAAAGGTTGTTTCCCCAGATGAGGATTTTTCCCTGGAGTTAGGGATTAACAGGACTAAGACTGTTGGCAATAAATTTGGGACTTGTTGGGCCCACATCCCCAGGGGTCAGCCCACCAGGGAAAGCACCAAAGCCTATACCCCTGGAGACCCACCGACACAGGGCAGTCCCAGGGAAGGCAAGCATCGAGGCTGGGAGGACATAACCTTTACTGGGTAGGATAATCTCCTTCAGTCACTTCCTTGTAGTTTATCAGTAGAGCTGTAGAATAGTGACCTTGGAATAGCCCTTATAATGAAACACAGAGATTAACCTAGACAAGATTAAAATAAACAGAACTAGATAGACACAGACAGGATTTTTGGCAAAGGTCAGATAAGAAACTATGGAAATGATACAAGGAACTGTAGAAGGTTACCCAAAACAAACATACTATGATGTGATTATAGAGGCATGCTTATAGGATCAAATGGTATACATACAGATGTAACCGGACAATAAAAGAGAGAACCTTGCTATGCTGATCAACTGAACGCTGTCCACACCTTTGGGAACCCCTGGACCTGCTGTGGCTGGACCCCAACAGCACTTCAGGTGTTACATGTTGCCTTTCTTCATAGATTGAAGGCAGGAATTGTACTTTTCCTGTTTCCTGTATCCACATTGCACCTAATGTCTACTGACCTACAGTAAATGTTGCTTGAATTATTTTTGAGGCTGTCAGGAATGAATGCTCTTGGTGATGGGAAGATGCCAAAGAGGGGCATCTTACAAAACCTTTGGATGACTGGTCTTTTAAATTGTTACTTACCTGTCTGTTTTATCAGTAACTGAATCAGATGCTAATACAAATTGGTAAAGCCTGTTTTTGTTGTTGTTGTTCTCTTCAAATACTGTTTGTGAAACAAGTCAGGAATGAAAGCTTGTCACAGCCCTGAAATTTGACATTTGTTCTATTTCTCACCCTGTAGCATGTGGAGGCATATCTATATCCAACTGCTGAGTGTGGTATTAGAATAAAAACGAACTGTGCGTTGTCTGGCCCACATTTTAGCTTGTTTGCTTTGAAGAATTTTTGAGGTGGAGAAATAGATGCTTCAGGCTCTGATTTCAGCCCATGCTGTGCTATGCAAATGTTCTCTACATGCCTGAGTGACCTTTTGAGAAAGAGCCTTTGTGATCTTCTGTAGCCAGGCCTGTTCTGGGAATAGTGTGCCAGATTCCTCTAAAAGTGGGAAAAGTGAATCTGTTGAAAGACCACATAAAGGAGCCAGTGCTTTTCCGATAAGCCCGTGCTTCTTATTGTCTCTTGTCAGAGCTTTTGAAACTGCTTTGCTGGTTGATTGGGGAATGATGTGCGTGAGAGGGTACTGACTAAAGCAGTTCGGTAGCTGGGAAACTGTTTGTTTAAGTGATTTGGAATTGTAGGTAAATTCAAATTGGCATCATTAGTATCTGGTGTTTATCAGTGTCTTCAGGCTGGCTCTCCCAGGTGCCAGCTGAGTGACTCTCAAACCGATTTGTAAGGTTCTTCTTGCCCCAAAATTTGCTCTAATGTTTTGGCATTTAAATTATTTTCTATTTGTTTTGATTATTGTATAAATGAAATGTATCAGTATTAAAAGTACACTTAGTTTTTTATGTTATGAAAGAAATGCCATCCTGATGGTATTTCTCTTGCGAAGTGATACTGGTATCTTGGAGGTCTAAGGTTTTTAACGCTTTTACTGAGATGTTTAGTTTGTATAGCTGAAATGCTGATGAAAAAGAGGTTTTTTTCCCCCCTCTACCTCTCTCTTAACCTTTTTGGTAAGGATCATGATAGGTTTGTACAAGGATAAGGTTGTAGAGTTAATCGTAATGTTCTCCCATAGAAATTCTAAAAATTGAATTTTCAGAGAAGATAGGTAGAATTTGAATGACTAATTTACTTCCTAGTCTCTTCCTTGTTCCCTAAGTATAGGATAATTCTTTCTTGTAGAGGTTAGGTGCATGTTGTGGGAAGGAAGTGCGTCCATAGAATGCTCTAAAGCAGCAATTTTCAACCTTTTCCATCTCATGGCACACATAAACTAATTACTAAAATTCTGTGGCACCCCAAATATTATAGGTCAAATCTCAGTTCTAGAATGTTTCCCATTTCAAACAATTCAGTTCTTTTTTCTTTTTTTAAATATATTTTATTGATTTTTTACAGAGAGGAAGGGAGAGGGATAGAGAGTTAGGAACATCGATGAGAGAGAAACATCGATCAGCTGCCTCTTGCACACCCCTTACTGGGGATGTGCCCGAAACCAAGGTACATGCCCTTGACTGGAATCGAACCTGGGACCCTTCAGTCCGCAGGCCGACGTGCTATCCACTGAGCCAAACCGGTTAGGGCAAACAATTCAGTTCTTGATGAGGTTGTTCATGTAAAACTTTGGTTCTCGACCCAAAACCCTTTCCTGCTGATACCTGTATGACCAGTCACATGTCTCTTGGGCGACAAAGGAGAGAATGTGTGTGAGTCAGTTTACCACTAACTCACATGTTAACATCCTAGGAAATTGTGCTGTGAAGATTTTTGTGGTTTTTTTGTTTGTTTGTTTTGCTTTTGAGGGTCTGGAATGGATTAATTCAATTTACATTACGTATTTCTAATGGGAAAAAATGATTTTGTTTTTGAACAAATTACTCCTTGAACAGCCTTAGGGAACAAATTAAGTTTGAGAACCGAGATTCCACTGTATACTATATTTTTTGCCGATCTGACAAAAAAATAGGTATAATTTAAAAATAAATATTTTTATTGATTTTAGAGAGAGAGGAAGGGAAAGGGAGAGAGATAGAAACATCAGTGATGAGAGGGAATCATCAATTGGTTGCATGCCTCCTTACTGGGGATTGAGCCAGTAATCTGGGCATGTGCTCTGACCAGAAATCAAACTGTGACCCCTGGTTCATAGGAATCGAACTGTATGTCTTGGTTCATTGGTTGAGGCTCAACGACTGAGCAACACCGGTCAGACAAAATAGGTATAATTTTGATTTGTTCACACTGGATGTCTATTATTGTGTTGGTTGTCATTTTTTTAATTTGACAATCTAAGGGAAAAGAGGTCAGTGCCCCTGACTAAAGAGTCAGGTGTTGCATATATATTTGTTAATCCTCAACCAAGGATAGTTTTCCCCATTGATTTTTTTTTTTTTTTTTTTGAGAGAGAGTGGCAGGGAAGGAAAGAGAGAGAGAGAGAGAGAGAGAGAGAGAGAGAAAGAATCATCAATGTGAGAGAGACACATCAATTGGTTGTCTCCCACACGCGCCCTGACCAGGGCTGAGGATTGAACCTTCAATCCAAGTACATGCCCTTGACTGGGAATTGAACCTGTAACCCTTTGGTCCAAAGACTGACTCTCTAACCAGCCAGGGCGGAATTGCATATTTTAAAAATTCTTGTAGCACCCTGATTGAAAATCACTGCTCTGGAGGAATGCTTCCCTAGATCTTTGCCCTGTAGCAGGTTTTAATTGAGCAAAGATGAGTAGTTTTCTCATGTTTCCGCCTGCTCTGTGAAGTGGAAAAATCTTTCCTCTCTGTTTTCATGGTTACATGTGCTGTCTTGTCTTTTTCTCGTCCCCAAGTTTTCCTGGAACCTGGGCTCCCCAGACGCAGCGCTGGAGCAGATGGATAATGGAGACTGGGGCTATATGGTGAGATGCTTTTGCAGATGCCTTTTGAAGGCTGTCAAATTATTTTTGTACTAGAGGCCTGGTGCATGAATTTGTGCACAGGTGGGATCTGGCTGGCCCACTCTGCCCCGATGGGGGGGCGGGTGATCAGGGATGGGGCCGGCCAGGGGGAGGGGCCATTGACTGGCCGCCCCCGCCCCCTGGTTGAACTCCTGGTTGAACTCCCGGTCGTACTCCCAGTTGAGGGGACAATTTTCCTATTAGCCTATTATTATATAGGACATTATATAAGATGTCTTTCCCCCTTATGTATTCTTAGGTATCATACATCTTGTAAGAATGAAAATTATTGGTGTATCTCCCCTTAATTAGTTTAGATGTGTTTTGGGGTGTTTGGTGTTTTTATGTAAGCAAACTCAACATCGACTTCAGAGTAACTTTATTTGGGAGAGATCATGACTTTTGGTCTTTAAGTTTATTGCCATTAATACTCTTCCTTCATGAAAAGTGACTATGAAAAGGGTCCAGTGGGGAATGGTACAGAGCAGCGGTCGCCGACCTCACGGACCACCGGTTGCCAACCGCTGGTGCAGAGGACATTTCCTTGTGGTTAGGGAGGTTACCATTGAGAAGGTGCCACTTTTCCCACTTGTGTGTGCGTATCTTCCTATTTTCCTTTTACTTTAAGAAATATTTTACCTGCCTAGTAACTGAAGTCTGTCAGTCTGTCTTTAAAACTGAAGGTATATATTATTTAGAGAAGCTTGCTTTTCAAAATTAAAGAGCAGGTTGCAACATTAATGTTACAAAAGTAAATACAGTATCAGATTTTGAAATTTGAAAGTTGCTGTTAGCTTTTGGGTATATGAGATTGTGTTGATCAAACTGTGTATTTTAACTTAGTATTTGGCACTGTTATTGCCATGAAAAAGTTAGGTCTGCACAAATTTTATCTTTTAAAAAAATTTCATGATTCCCCACCCCCTTTTGAGAGAAGAGTAAACAGAAGAAATATTGAAACTAGATTCTTTTCATTATCAAATCATTTTTGGCCTATTTTTTGTCAAATTGAGTTAAGAAAAATGACTCTTCTATTTTTTAAAAAATGTTTCTTATTGACTTTTTAGAGTGAGAGGAAGGGAGAGGGAGAGAGAAACAACAATCACGCCTCCTTTGCGCCCCCTACTGGGAACTGAACCTGAAACCTGGGCATATGCCCTGGCCAGGAATCTAACCAGTGACCTCTCTGTGCAGAGATGGCACTCAACTAACTGAGCCACAGCAGCCAGAACAAGTCTCTTTTTTAAAGCAGAAAGAAACTTAGTTTATTTTAGTTTGGCCTTTGTCTTTCCCTAATATACTCTCACCAAAACTTCTCTTTAGATACTGGGGCTGAAATTAAATGGCTTTGGAAGTGATGCCTTTGTTTCTTAGTATGTCTTTAAAGAAATAGAGTTATCTCCTATTGAAAGCATGTGTTAGATCCCTGCATCCAGGAGGGTTTATCACTGAAAGTAAAGCTGATTTGCATAATAGATTGCTAAATACTCATAGCCGGAAGGAATCTTTTGCTTTGCTTGTTACCATTTTTCTTAATTTGTCAAAGTTAGGATTTTAAAAATTTCAGGTGACTAATCATTTTTTACAAAATTTCAGATGACTGACCCAGTCACGTTAAATGTAGGTGGACACTTGTACACAACGTCTCTCACCACATTGACCCGATACCCGGATTCCATGCTTGGAGCTATGTTTGGGGGGGACTTCCCCACAGCTCGAGACCCTCAAGGCAATTACTTCATTGATCGAGATGGACCTCTTTTCAGATATGTCCTCAACTTCTTAAGAACTTCAGAGTTGACCTTACCCCTGGATTTTAAGGAGTTCGATCTGCTTCGAAAAGAAGCAGACTTTTATCAGATTGAGCCCTTGATTCAGTGTCTCAATGACCCTAAGCCTTTGTATCCTATGGATACTTTTGAAGAAGTGGTGGAATTATCTAGCACTCGGAAGCTTTCTAAGTACTCCAATCCAGTAGCTGTCATCATCACCCAGCTAACCATCACCACCAAGGTCCATTCCCTCTTAGAAGGCATCTCAAACTATTTTACCAAGTGGAACAAGCACATGATGGACACCAGAGACTGCCAGGTCTCCTTCACCTTTGGACCCTGTGATTATCACCAGGAGGTTTCTCTTCGGGTCCACCTGATGGAATACATCACAAAACAAGGCTTCACGATCCGCAACACCCGGGTGCATCACATGAGTGAGCGGGCCAATGAGAACACAGTGGAGCACAACTGGACTTTCTGTAGGCTGGCCCGGAAGACAGACGATTGAGCTCCATCCGGGGGAGTTCCTGGACACTGACTTTCCAGGAGATGGAAGAGACTGGAGACTGATTTTTTTTTTTTTTGTGGGATTTAAAAAAGTTTTTTTGGTATTTATTTGAAGGCATTGAGGAGCAGAAGGAAGTTTTGTGCTTTAGTGGATTCCTCTATGTTCATTCCCTTCACCCTGAGTATGCATGTGCCTGTTCAGAGCCTCCAGATAACTTTTTTATAAAAAGAAGTCTGAAAATTATTATGGTATATAAACCCTTAACAGAGCTTTTTTTTATTACAGTGCTAAAATGATTTCTGATTAAATGGTCCCTAACTCAACTAGAGGCTCAAAAATATAGGAATGAAAGAATAAACAAAGTGAGTACTCCTGATGCTTTTGACAAAAATCAAAACATCATGTAGGGTGACCTAGTTTCCACACCAATAAGCAGTATTGTAATATTAAAAGAAAACTGTTCCAATCATTTAAAAGTACTTGTTAAGTACTGCTTTTTACAGTTATTACAACTGTTTCTTTCTATGCATATAAATCAAGCAACCAAATATCTGTAGCCATGGAAATGTCTGACTAGAAATATTTATATTGGATTCTGAATACAAAATGTCCCTGTGGTAGAAATCTTACTTCTTATGCCTGGTGCAGTATAATTCCCAAGTGTACTGTCTACCAGAAAAAAACGAATAAAAAATGAAATAGAAAAATTAGGTTTATATTTATTGACTACTGTTACTTAAGGGGAAAATCATATTTCTTGTCTCTAAAGTATGCATTGTTTGTTTTATGTACCAACATACACTGCACTGCCAAAGCACACTTGTATTTGACTCAAGAGGACTCAGTGGTACCTTTGGATGCAGTTTGTAGAACTCTACTGTGTTATTAAGCAGGAATAGATGGAATTACTAATTTTGTCTAAAACAGTACAATCTGAACAGTGACCATATAATTTGACAAATTAAGTAGGAATTAAGTTGAAGATTAAAGATTTTTCTTCAATAAGCCACCATTTGTCATAGCCCTGAATATGACCCTTATCCGAGCTTTGTGTTGAGTATTGGAACAAACTGACTCTTCAGCCACTTTATTCTCTTATGCAGTGGAACCTCAGTTCTCAAACTTGATTCATTCCGGAAGGCTATTCAGGAAGCAATTTGTTTGAACACCAAATCATTTTCCCCCATTAGAAATAATGTAAACGGAATCAATCTGTTTCAGACCACTATAAGCAAAAACACATGAAACTTCACAGCACAATTTCCTGAGATGTTAACTCGAGTGTTAGCCATAAACTGACTCACACTCACGCATTCTCTCCTTGTCGCCTGAGAGACACATGATTGATCATGTGTTGAAAGGGTTGTTGGGTTGGAACCAAAGTTTTATTCGACAACCCAGATAGTCTGTGAACAACTTGGTCGAGAACCCAATTATTTGAGATGGGAGGTGTTCCAAAACCAAGGTTTTGACCGTATATGGTAACCCACAAATTATTTTATTAAAGTTAAATCTATTTCTGAGGAGAGGAAATAAACTGCAGTGAATGAAGGATCTGGACCAGGTATGTGTATTTGTTTCTCAGTAGTCTTTATTTTGCATAGTTCGTTTGATTCTATTTCTTGGAAGTTACTCACAGGAAGGTTTATGTTAACTATAGTGAGACTTCCTGGTTTGTTGGAACACCTTCTAAAAGGAAGTGTGTATTTAAAAAAATTTTTTTTATTGATTAATATTAAGTTATTACATATGTGTCCTTATCCCCACATTACCCTCCCCCCCCCACCACCACTCATGCCCTCACCCCCCTGTTATCTGTGTCCATTGGTTAGGCCTGTATGCTAGCATGTAAGTCCTTTGGTTGATCTCTCCCCCTTACCCCCACCCTCCCCTACCTTCCCTCTGAGGTTTGACGGTCTGATTGATGCTTCTCTGTCTCTGGATCTGTTTTCATCAGTTTATGTTGTTCATTATATTCCACAAATGAGTGAGATCATGTGATATTTATCTTTCTCTGACTGGCCTATTTCACTTAGCATAATGCTCTCCAGGTCCATCCATGCTGTTGCAAATGGTAAGAACTCCTCCTTTTTTACCGCCACGTATTATTCCATTGTGTAGGTGTGTAATGCCTTCCCTGTTCTGTGGGAGGAAGGTTCTCAGGCTGTGTGTTCTAGGGCCAGCCACTCCTTTTCTCCTCTGAGATTCTGCCTCTGAAAGGAGTTTGAAAACACCTTCATCCGTGTTTGCCGAGGTCTCTGAAAATTTAACTTAAGATTTGACAGATGACCAACATTCAGAAACCTGTAATTACCCCATTTTCACCATCTTCAAGCTAAAACTCCTTAATGGTATTGACCGGTTGCTGTGGTTTCAGTAAATGTACTAGTATGAAGTTATCTCTTTAAAAAATGGTCTCCGGCTTCAGGTTGCTTAGTGGTTACCTAAGACAGAACCAACCCAGCCACTTAGGTGTTGTTAAGCTAGCTGAGGTGAACGTGAGAAAAAATGGGAATAATATTTGGCCTTCCAAGGCTTTAAAAGTTAAAAACTTTTGAGATCTCTTCTTTGTTCAGTTTACTGGAGATAAGTTTGCTTTTGGTAAAATTTCACAGATTTATTATCAACAAAATGATTACTTATATGGGTAAATTAGGAAAAATAGCCAGCTGAGAGATTTTGCAATTTGGGCATTTAATTTTGAGTGTTTTATTTGCTTAAGCAACTGAAAATGATATGAAAATGTAGCTTGAGTATATTTGGGTAATTTGAGCAATTATGTATTTTATAAGTTTTAATTTTCTGTGGAAAGGTTGATTTTTCAAAATTAATACTTATTTGAAGTCTTAGGGCTGTACATATTATTTAGATTACAAGTATAGGCACTTTTGGAGAAAGATTGTGTGTGTGCATGTGTGTGTCCTTTTAAAGTTTAAACCCTCAGATAAATGTGAGCTGTAGGCACAAATGATAACCAATGAACCTATTGGCTTTTGCTAGATCAAAAACAAAACCCTGGGATTTAACAAAATAGATGCTACAATTGGATAATACTGCCGGAAGCCGGTCCATCCTTGCTTGTGGAACCCCTGGACCTGCTGGGGCTGTACCCCAGCATAATACTACTGTGTTTTATTGTAGGAAGTGCCAAATATACTTAGAAGAGAGAATTGTTTAAATAACGGTGTACCCAATGACCAGCATCCACAACTATTCTCTCCCCTTTTTTCCTCTCATGGATTTTGAAGTAAACCACAGATGTTTCATTCACTTCAGACTGTCTCTCTAGAAGATAATGACTCTTTAAAAAATACATACACATATGTACTTTAAAGTTTTAATGCCATATTTGCCATGCTACCATTATCACAGAGTGTGCTTTTTTTTTTTTTTTAATATATTTCTTTATTCATTTCAGAGAGGAAGGGAGAGGGAGAGAGAGATAGAAACACCAATGATGAGAGAGAATCATCGATTGGCCGCCTCCTGCATCCCCCCCCCCCCTCTTACTGGGGACCGAGCCCGCAACCCAGGCATGTGCCCCTGGCCGGAATCGAACCCGGGACCCTTCGGTCCGCAGGCCGACGCTTCATCCACTGAGCCAAGCTGGCCAGGGCAAGTGGTGCTTCTTGAATGCTGCCGATTATTTCATAGCTTGGATCTCCAACTTTGTAGTAGTGGTCTTAGATATTTCTGGTAGGCAGGGTTCCCCTGTTGTAGAAAGAAGTGCATTAGTAAGACAGAATATTTCTGTCAGGATTAATAACTTTTCAAATTAAGTTGTTTTTTTTTTTGTTTCAAAATGAACATTACATAAGATTTTTAATTTTAAAAATTGTGTGAACATATGGAGAAACATTTTTTTCCAAAGGGCATCCTTCATTTTCTCCAGCAGATTTTAAATTGTGGATGCAGGTGGCCAATTAAAAAACACAGTTATCATTTGCTTTTGGAATTGAACACAAATAAAAGGCTCCACTCTTTGAGGCTCCTTGAAATGGAACACTAACCATAAAGGAATCAGAACGGTGGAATCAGGTAAGCAATATAATATGTCACAATAGGTTATCCCTATTATTTTCTGATGTCTTGATTGGTTCCTTCTCAGCCCTCTCTCATCCGTGTAACATTTACTTGTGTCTTTTTTGCCTGTCTGGGTTAAACTGTAAGCTCCTTGAATGACTCTTGATCTCTGCTGTATTCTTAGTACCTAGAAAAGTTTCTGGCATATATTGTATGTTCAGTAAATATGTTGAATGATTGAATTAATCAGTAGGTGTATTTAAGGCATCTAGCAACTACTTGGACAGACTTTTACAATAGAATAAGGGCGGGAAAATAGGATTCTTGTTTTGAAATTATCCCCAGTGTTACCTCCACTGCTTGCGTCTGTAGGGAATCACTTTGATATGAGTTCATGTGGGGAGGGGCAGCAGCCTTTTGCTGTTCACTTTGGAAAGGCTGGCTTGAAATGGCCAGATCAGGAAAAAAGCCAAAAAACCAGACTCATGGCTCAAATAAACGTCGGGAGGGCAAATCACCCAGTCCCGGCATGAAGCTCAACACCCACCGCCCAGACTGAAGAGAGACTAGCTTCGGGCTCTAAGACACGACACTTAGCATAGCACCTTTCTTTGGATAGAAAATGTCAGTGACATATATTCTCATTTGTCTGCAAGGTCTGTTTTAACGTAGCTTTTGTTTTAATTTATTTGAAATACCTGTAGTGAATCTTTTTCTGCTAGTGCCAATGAAAACTGCCTCTTCTCGTAGTTTCAGAATTATCTACAGCAGATTAAAACATTACACTGTGAAAGTGCCATTTTGCTGCTCTCTAGAGGAGCCAGAAATGTAAGATGATGTGGCTGTATATTAGCAGTCAACCGAGTACCATTTTAACTAATTGGAAACCGTTCTCCAAGGTCATTTATAATCTCAGTTCCTAAGGTGCTTGCTGTACCTGTCACCTTTTTAGCAAGGTAAGTGAAGCTAGGATGGCAACCGTCTCTGCAGCATTGTGGATGCAGCAGGTTCCTTCCTCTCACTGTAGGTCACAAAACCATGTTAATTATTCCATCAATGCAAATGTCTACTCTGTGATAGGCCCTGGAGTTAGGAAGGTGAAGACTACATCCTTGTTCACAGTGAAGTGGCAGGTGACAGAAAAGGGAAAAGTGATTGGGATGAAGTGCATCAACCTTTTTTTTTTTTTTTTTTTTTAAGGACATCGTTTTTTGGGTTTTTTTTTTCATGTATAGGGCGTAATGTCACAGGAAAGTCATAGCATCCTGCCACCTATGAAGAACAAGCCCAAGTTGCTGTTGGATGTGTTCTACACAGAGGAGCCATTCTTCAGGCACTCTGCTCTCTTCACACCCCGACATCATTGTTTTTTAAATATATTTTTATTTCAGAGAGTGGGAGAGAGATAGAATCATCAATGATGAGAATCATTGACTAGCTCCCTCCTGAACCCCCCGCCCCTACTGGGCACGTGCCCTGACTGGGAATCGAACCTTGACCTCCTGGTTCATAGGTTGTTGCTCAGTCACTGAGCTATGCCAGCCGGGCTTATCAAATCTGTTGATGCTGTGGGCTGGTCATGCCCCTCATTTAGATAAACCTGCCCTCATATCATATCCAGATTAAGTTCTTTTATAATATCCAGATTAAATACTTTTATAATATCCAGATTAAATTCTTTTAG